AGGGTGAAATTCTCATTCAAAATTGTCATCCACCGATGTGGTACTTTTGCCAATTTCAACAATGTTCTCTTTGCAATAACTTCATGGGAAGGAGATGTGCATGTATGACTATGACTATCACTATATCTTCAACAGTAAGACCCATGTCTGAGACTGAGAGTTCCAGTGTTTGTACTGTTTATTTCCTATTTCTTGTGTATTAATACTCATTCGATTTTCTGATAATTGGGGTGCCTCAGAGGTTTTCCTTTTTGCTTTTTTTTTTGTGTGTGTGGGGAGGGCTTGCGGTAGGCTCAGGAGAAACTGGTGCTTCATGTACTATATTATACAATCATGTAATGCTCCTCTATCTCAATTGAAGTGTTCCTATTTCTTGGAATTTTGGGCACAGTTATCCAGGTTGGACTTGAATTTTGTTTTAATTAATTTGAATGGTCCGAAATAGAGATCCCACAATATTTTCTGGAAAAAACCCAATGGAAAAGTTTCGAAAGTAATGAAAAAGCCTCTCTTTCAGGAAAGTGGAAGAACTTTGAGACAACTCAAAATAGAGGGTAAAGCAATCAATTTGGAACCAAGGAGGAATACTTACAGTTTTAGCTGTATGTTTCCTCGGTTCCCACAGGCTTGATTTCATCTTTCTCCTGCTTATTAGGGTGCAAGCAGATTATTTACTATTTCCTGCATATTTCATAGGTTGAAAATGATCTCCAGTTCATTAAAGAAGATATAAGTGCTGTGGAGAAACATAGAATGGAATTGTATAGGGCAAGGGGTAGATATGCAGCAAAGATGAGAATGCTAGTAAATGATTCTTCTGCTGTGACAATTCGGCCTTCATTGATAGATAAGCAAGGTAGTGGCATTATTTCTGGTTCCTCAATTTCACAGCGACAAGGATATGCTGCTTCAGACACTTCACAGAACAGGAAAACAGATGCAAGAGCTCTAGAGAATGTTCACAGGACAGATTCCGACTCACAGAATTCTGATCAATCTGGACTTGCGACAGCAAGAAAGAGAAGTATCTACGCACAGGTCAGTATTTTGTAAATTAGCTTATTGGAGGTTGTTGTAAATTTGGGGTTTGGCCTATGCTGGAAGAATATTTCGTTGTTTATATCCCCTCTTTAATACGCATATTGCAACAGCTCGATGATATACAAGGTTATTATTTGCAAAAACGGCGACACTGCACAAAACAGTCACATAGACAGGAAGAAACGGTAGCAAACGTCATAAACAGAGAAGGTTATTGTGCCGGACTTGAGGATTTTCAATCTGTTCTATCTACCTTTACACAATACAGGTCCGTGTTTTTTGGTCAATACGTTTTGCATTGACTGCAAAGCCTCCTATATATTTGAGCTTAAAACTTTTGTCTACTTTTTTTTTTGGTTCAAACAGTCGGTTGCGGGTTGTTGCTGAACTTAGGCCTGTCGATCTTTTCCACTCAGCTAATATTGTCTCAAGGTAAAGAGCTTATTGCATGTAGAAAGATTCCATGAGCTAGAGGAGTTCTAATAAGTACTGAAGGCAAGAATGTAGCTCCCTCCAAGAGGCCAGTTTTTAAAGTTATAAAATTTAAATGATGATGCCAACCTGTTGATGTGTTACCACTAGTCTACAGCTTGCTGAATTTTCTTTGTTTGGCTTTTGGCGATATCACTATATATGATTGACTTGGTGGATGTTGAGAGATTTTCATCATCCGATCACTCCTGATCCCAAAAATGGGTCAGAAAGGTCATTATCATTGTTAGAAATATAATGGTAATTCTACTCTGTTTTTCAACCCATGCCTGCGGCAGCAAGAGGTTGAATCTTCTCCTCTTGGGAGGTCTTATTTTGGTAACTAGTGAATGGACTCTACTATCTCTTCAATCTTTGTACATGATCTCTCTCTCTCTCTCTCTCTCTCTCTCTCTCTGAGTTCTTAACACCTCCAATTGCCTCATTTTTCAGTATTGAATTTGATCGAGATGATGAATTTTTTGCTACAGCTGGCGTGTCGAGAAGAATCAAGGTCTTTGACTTTTCATCAGTAAGTATACCTTTCGTNTTTTCGTGATCTTAATAAATCCTCCCATTGTTAATGGAAATTTCCAGCTGGTAGTTTTTCTTTTTGAATCTGCTGTGGCTGATTTACTACTTCACATTTGGTAGATTATTTTCCCGTTTTATTCGACAATGTTGGAATATTCTCAAGTGCTGTCAAGTAAAGCTGGATTATAGCTTCATGTCCCTTTCCCACATTGGGTTTTTTTTTATTAAAACGTTGGTTTAATGAGATGTTTAAATAAACCTTCTCAAAAAATAGTAAGATGTTTAAATAGAATAGTGTCATCCTGATAAAAGTCGTATGATGCTGCTCTTTCTGTTGAAATTACCTCAACAGTTTGAGATGATTTAAATACTTAATATTCTAAGAGCATTTTCTTGTACTTCTATTTCTCTACTATGTATAAATCGAATATGATATGTTCTCATTTTCAGGTGGTAAATGAACCAGCTGATGCACAACGTCCTGTTGTTGAAATGTCTTCACGATCCAAACTTAGTTGTCTGAGCTGGAACAAGTACGCAAAGAACCACATTGCGAGCAGTGACTATGAAGGCATAGTAACCATTTGGGATGTGAGCAGTCGCCAGGTAGTATCTGTTTTCAGGAGTTTTATCTTTGATCATGGGGCATGTTTCAAATCTCTAATAACATTATTATATATTTTCTTGCTCAGAGTGTGGTGGAGTATGAGGAGCATGAAAAACGAGCATGGAGTGTTGATTTCTCTCATACTGATCCTTCTATGCTTGTGTCTGGCAGTGATGATTGCAAGGTAAAAAGAACTTCATCATTTCTCTTTTTGCTTTTCATGGTCTTCTCTACAGTAGCGAACGTACAGTTGACGAAATTGACAAATAGAGCAGATAGGGGAGTATGTCATTCAGCTTTATGGATATCAAATTCCTGGAAGTTGCTAATAGATTAGTTTGCAAACGGTTGTCTTAATTATGCAAACCTTTTTGAGCTACAAACATCATTTTATTACTCCTTATGCAGTTGGGTTTACCATCAACAAATCAGAAGAGTGAGATGCAGCAGGCAACAAGGCCCATAATTCGTCTTATTTTCGATTTTTCATTCCTTTGAATTCTTTTTCGTATTTTAGGAATTTGCTAAAGTTCTGGTTCAGATGTAGGAATAAAAGTTTGAGAGATTCTTTCAGTTCCTCCTATTGGATTGATAACAACTATATTCACTTTCAAGTTTGAGAGGTAGTTCTGCAGATTGGGTTGATAATAACAATCCTCATTGATGGTTAACTTTTCTGGTCTGATTAGTCCCAGAGTCTAAAAATATATATTTGCAAAATCATATGCTGGTTATGCATGAACTAGTAAGTGTGAGGCCGCTTCTGTATGTTATGTGAATCACGCCCCATGTATGGTTCAACAACAGAGAGCAAAATGTACTCACTAACTGCAACAAAAAAAACATGATTAAAAGGATTTCAAATGTGTGAAATATCATAGCAAGCTAACTCTAATTGCTCAACAGGTCAAAGTTTGGTGCACGAAGCAGGAGGCAAGTGTTATTAGCATTGACATGAAAGCAAACATTTGCTCTGTGAAGTACAATCCTCAATCCAGCTTTCATATAGCTGTAAGTCACACTTCCTCTTGATTCAATGCATCAAATTATGCTAAATCTCGTACATTGTTGAACTTTTACACCAAGGCATGATCTTGTTTCTTGCAGGTGGGTTCTGCTGATAATCATATCCATTATTATGACTTGAGAAATATTAAGCAGCCGCTGCATATTTTCTGTGGACACCATAAATCTGTTTCATATGTGAAATTTTTATCCAACAATGAGCTGGCGTCTGCATCAACGGATGGTACATTGCGTTTGTGGGATGTCAAGGAGAACATTCCAGTAAGTTATGACACAGATTCGTTGCTTTTGTTTCACTATGTGTTCCTCAATGTGAATACTTGAGATGTTAATAACATATTCCTGTTTTAAAATTAATTCCTGAAAACCAAGCAAACTAGAAAAAATCAATTGAAAACCAATCACCAATCAGGGATTGAAAATAAAATTAGAAGAGGGAGGGAGGGAGCATATTTTGCTAAATTTCGGTGTTTTTTCCTGTGCATGCAGCTTGGGTGTAAGTAAGTTGTTTTTTTTTTTCAAAAAGAATAGCTACTTCTACAAGGGCTTTATGGTCCATGCATATACTTTAATTAATTTTGTTTTGTAAATCCACAGAATTATCTAACTTTGACTTGGCCATTTCTTTGTTATGTTTTTTCTCCTTTCAGCTGCGAAATTATAGAGGACATACAAACGAGAAGAACTTTGTGGGTCTTGCAGTAAACAGTGAATACATTGCCTGTGGCAGTGAAACAAATGAAGTGTTTGTCTATCACAAGGTATTTCTAATACTACAGTAGAAAACAGGGTTATTTCTAGTAAATAACAAGATTCATTATCATTCCCTTTGATCATATGTTGGATTTTGTGCACAGGCGATTTCTAAGCCAGCAGCATCGCACAAATTTGATTCTGACCAGAATGATCCAGATGAGGACATGGGATCACATTTCATTAGTTCTGTTTGTTGGAAGCGCGAGAGCCCAACCATTTTAACAGCAAATAGTCAAGGGATCGTACAAGTGCTTGTTCTTACTGCTTGATGAGTAAAAGTAGAACGATAAAAAGATAAAAGCACGACTAAGGAGCTTCTTATGAAGGAATAGAGGTACCATGCCCCTGCACCAATTCTCCATTGTACGTGTGTGACCGGTTTATTAGGGTAATTAATGAAGATTGTTTTTGATCTTTGTTGCTCCTTTTAAACCAATTTGACTGATGGGGATGGGGATGTAGCTCCAAAGGGTGTCTGATTATACGGTACTTAATGTACTTAAGTTGCAGCAAACATCATGTTTATGGTTCAAGTGCAGCAGTTCAGAGAAAAAGATTGTTTCTTCAAACTTCATTGGAAAGTCTAAAAACATAAAATCTTCTTGTGGGATGAAGGTTTTTCTGTTCAATTTCCATGCCTTGGCAGTCTGCTTTCAACAACAAAAAAGACTTTATCCCTACCCCGACAGAGCAGCAAGGTTGTTTCCAATATAGACCCTCAGCTAGTCCTCTTTTTACCAACAAAATTGTACTGTTGTAACTTTGGAGGGGAGGTAGTATTCATTTTTCATGGACATGTTGGGGATACCAAATTTTGTAAACGTGGAACATTAGTCACACAAGACCAAGCCTCTAAATGAAGGAGGGATTATTTTGTTGCGTCTTCTATAAGAGGAAGAGCATAGACAGTTCCTATTTAGAATGAATTCACTTTTATCAATTCCTATTCAGATAAATATTGGAGAGATTGTGCACTAAATATTTGTATGTTTAGTGCCAATCTTGGTTCCTCTTGCCTTTTATCTTGGCTTAGATTGTGCCATTTTGTTAATGCCAATCTTGGTTCCACTTGCCTTTTATGCCACGCTACACTTTTTATATATGTGATCGTACTGTGGTGTGCAGAATGCTAGAGTATGGACCTGAGGCTTATATTGTTTGACATTTCCTACGTCAAAACAGTTTACTTATTACGCCCACTTGCCCACTTTACACATCAAACTTTGACAAAGAACTGTACACAAAAAAGAACTATACACATTAAAAAATTAGTGATTCCTTATCTTCATTTATATTTAAACTATCCATTGATATTTATTTTACGCAGAACAACCCAAAACTAATTAGGCAGCAAATGGGGAAAGATATTTTCGTTTTTTAAGGTTGTTTTTCACAATAGCCAAAGCATTTTATTAAATTCTACACCTTGAAAGTACATCGGTCTGACATTTCCTCAAGGATCGAATTTATAGTTAATCCAATAGGTTAAAAGTGAAGAAAACAGGTTTAACACTTCATCTTCACCTATTAAAATATTTTTCACATACCCATCTATTTCTAAAAAATTTACTGGGTCATTGTTGTACCCATATATATCTAAAAAGTAAATACAAAAAAAAGAGAAGAAAAAAACGAAAGCTAAATAAATTGAAAATCGAGGAAGGAAAAATGGAAAAAGTTAGGGTGTAGACGAGCAACAATCGAATCGTCAATCTGAATAAATGACGACCGAAACGATATCTCGCCGATATCACTATGCCTCCTGTAAATTTAATTAAAAATGATGAAACAAACAAAAAATACTTGTTCATCATTCGATCAGAAGGAGGCGCAAAAAACAGATACAATTTCAAATAATAAAACAAATTGTAATTTCTATAGATAGAGAGCACAGAACTGCCATGGAATTAGCAGCATTTGTTAACATAGATGCGATTTACCTGCTCAACAGAAGAGTGAATATAGTGAAAGCAATTAGGCAATTTATAGAGATGCCAAACCCTAGAAAACTCTTCAGAATTGAATTTACAGTAATATCCCTCGACCAGGTTTTGGGCCCTCTTCAGATTTTACGGGCTTCAGCCTGTTTGGGAGTGAAGTATACAAATAGCGTAGGATGATCTTACATTTTTACCCTCGTTTGCTTTAAGAATTTTTACATTCTCCTATATCATGTAATAAACTATATTACCCCCATACTTAACTTTTAATATAATTACCTTCTATATACCTAATTATCATTTATGTACCATTTTAAGATTTTAATGGTATTAATTAGTCTCTTAATTTTACTCAATCGTATATTCTCACTCCCCCAAGTTTCTATCTTCAAATCCCTACGTTTCCTCTTCAAACATCCACAATTTCCTATTTTAAAATCAGCGAAAATCTGTAACCCCTCCACCATTTGACAACCATTAAAAAGTTTTGAACCTTTGAGTTCGAATTTGGGTTTTCAAAAGACATTGTTTGTTTGGATTGGATGTTGTTGCAAAGAATTGAGAATTCTCTCTACGTCTCTCTCTATCTCGCAATCCCAATTTTCAGTAATATAAAAGGAAAGAAAAAGAGAGCAACAATTCCACCATTAAGAGCCATTAAAAAACTTTGAAGCTTTGAATTTAAATTTGGGTTTTCAAAAATCATTATTTGTTTGGATTGGGTGTTGTTGTAAATAATTGGGAATATGGTTTGAAATTTATATCTCAATTTTAAGAGGTTTTGGTGAAAATTAGACTTGGTTTTGACTGAATTTCAGATTGAAAGTCGAAGAAGAAGAAGAAGAAGAAGAAGAAGAAGAAGAAGAAGAAGAAGAAGAAGAAGAAGAAGAAGAAGAAGAAGAAGAAGAAGACATGACATACATTATATTGCAAAAATTGTAGATAAATTATAGAAAAATTGTAGACTGTTGTTTATTTATTTTTGAGCTTTGTGTTTTTGTGTTAAAAGCTTTGATGGAAGGTTGTTATTTCACTTCGTCTGTTTTGGAGCTAACTTGTGCAGAGGAAAAGATATTTTTTAAGTTATATATATTGTTATACCTTTAAATTCAAGAAAGTATGATTGTATTGTATTTAAAGAGGCGTGAATTTGTAGAATAAGTTGAATATGAGGAATGAGTCAAATAAGACTCACAATGGCTTGTTTTCTATATTTATTCTACAATAAAACTACATATCATTTGAAAAATTAAGATGAAAATGCAGAATTTCAATGTTTCTACAAATTATCTATAAAATTTCTACAAATTGTTCATAACATAATTTATCTTTATTTTCATGCATGTTCGTCTGGAACACTAAAGTTACTTGATATGACAACATCTCCTGTCATAGAGGAATACAACTTATCTATAATTTTCTACAACTTTCACACATTATTTTCACCTAGTTAAATACAACTACAATAACATAAATTTGAGCTTTGTGTTTTTGTGTTAAAAGTTTTGATGGGAACTTGTTATTCGACTTCGTCCGTTTTGGAACTAACTTATGCAGAGGATGTCGCACCTCCTTTTTACATACCCGAGAGGGTGCAAGGGAGTTTTCTCCAATTAAAGGACAG